TTTTAATATTTATTCAAAAAAAATTTTCTCGTTTGTACGATCCAATGTTTTCGACACGCGTGATTTTTTTTTTTTTTTTTTTTAAATATTAAATACGGTATACGTATATTTTTTTTATTTAATCTGGTGGTCACATTTATGGCATGACTTTTCTTTATCGTCAACCCTTTTTTAACTCTTTTTTATCACATTAAAAATTAGTACATTAACATTTTCTATTTCTATGTTATATTATATCGTTATAATCGAGTCGGTCGTGATAGACGAAACGTATAATAACAAATGCGAACCGCGGCGACGAGAAACAATGTTCGAATGTTATTGAAATATCGATTCGACAAAGTCGCTTTCCGGACACGGAACGGGACGGACGTGTTTCTCCTCGCTCTCGCGAACGAATATCGTAGTAAATTTTCAATAAATTAGAAACTCGCGTTAACGAAACATCGCAATTATAAAAATAATTACGAAATTTCTAAAAAGTGGTCGTCGAACGATATTCTAGTAGATATTTTTTCTTTTAACGATAGCGATCGATATCCTTTTTTTTCCTTTTCTTTTTTTTTTTTTTCTTCGAAAAGAGAATCACGCGTAATATCGTTCCACGCTCACACTAAATCTAACATAATCGCGAATGAATCGAGAAAGAAAAATTCACGAACACACGATGATATAATTGATAAAATTGTTTAATGATCGGTCACTAATTGTTTAATAATCGGTTTGCACGGAGCAGCAGGTGGATGGTGGCGGGGAAGGCCGACCCGGAAATGCCGAAGAGGATGTACATCCATCCGGATTCGCCGAGCAGCGGTGAGCAATGGATGCAGAAGGTGGTGAGCTTCCACAAGCTCAAACTCACTAACAACATCAGCGACAAGCACGGCTTTGTAAGTACTGTACGTAACGCCAACCAAACAATTACTTACTTACTTACTTAGCCTCTAAGTTGGAGCTCCGAGTCTCGCAATTAATTCGCTAACGAATTTGCCCGGCTAACGACCTAACGATCGCCTCGATTAAAAGCTCGTTAGGCCGCGTGCTCGACGATGACCGCTCTCTTGTTGTGTGCTTGTTGTTTCGCGAATTCCCCCCACTCCCTGCCAATCCCCTTTATTCGAAAGGGGAAGGAAAAATTGTCGCGGAAATTTCGCTCGAATTCGAAAAAAATTCGCGATTCTTAGCGAGAAATCGTAGAACGTTGGATCGCGAGTTTTAATTAAAATTAAAATTCCATCCTACGCGATTGATATTCGAAACGAAATTGGACCCTCCATTTTCTTCGTTTGATTAATTCGTCGCGTAATAAAACGAAATCGCGACAACGATGGTTCAATGATGATCTTACTACGACCGACCCCGTTCGAACAAACGAAGGAAAAAGAAGAAATAACGCGATTATTATCCTTGTCCCGGCAGACGCATACATAATTTCTCGTCGAAGAAAGTGTAACACGCGAACAACCTATCCCCGTTTATTCGCATCGAGAGAATAATAGAAGCAGGGCTCGCTATTAACCAAGGAGGAATCCATAATCCCGCAGGATTAAGTTATCGCGATGGATTTCGGCGTCAAGTAGTTGCAGCAGCGGGCCGCTGCAGCAGCCTGGCCCCTCCTCGGCCCTCTCCTCTCTATTAGCCTCACCCTGGTCACACGCATAGCAGCGGCCTCTTTCCATCTCCGCGAGAAGAGGACGAGGGGGGCGAAACGGGCGGAAGCAAAGCAGCAGTCGAAGCAAAGAAGAAGAAGAAGAAGAAGAAGAAGAAGAAGCCTGGTTCTTTCAGCGGCCACAACCCCCCGTCCCCTGGACGCTGCTGCTGCACCGTCCTCCTTTTTTGCGAATCCTTTTTGCGGCGGTCCGCGTCGGCGCCCTTTGAAGGATCCTGCATCGCTGGCTCGTGAAATCTAGTCCTCCAGCCCGGGGTCCGGAGCGATGTCAATGGCTGTGCCACAGCCCGACCTTTGTTACGGACCAGCACCAGCCTTCTCTCTTCCTCCCTCTCCGCTTGGAGGAACACCGCGTGCCAATCGTGCGGTACGCCACCATGCTCTCTCTCTCTCTTTCTGTTTTTCTTTTTCTTCTTCTTCTTCTTCTTCGTCTTCGTCTTCGTCTTCTTGGTTGCTCTGGCAGGGGAGAGGGCAAAAGAAGGGGTTGAATCGTTTTGGGTTCACGGTTCACCTGCGCCAGCCCTGTGCACGAGCCCAGAAAATACACGGAGGGGGGGGGGGGGCTTCTACTTAGAGAGGAGGAGGCGGCCAACCCTTTCCGGATTCGGGGAAGATTTCGAGCGATCTCGAGATTATTCGCTTTGGTTCGGGGGATGTGGGGCGGAAGATGCGCTTTTTCATCCTCAGCTGCGTGGATCTTTATCTCTTGCACGCTGTTCTTTCTTCCTTTTCACCTTGTTAACCCTTTCGCTACTGCGCGCTGCTATAACCGCTTCGTATACTTAACATAGTATATATCGCTCTGCACAAGGATTACAATCGTTCTGCACAAGAAACCGCGCTATCTTTTTCTGACGAAACGTAGCATCGATATTTTCTTTATTTTTTTTTTTCAATAAACGTCGTCAACTCAAGCAACTCGAATCGTGGAGGCGGTCACGTCGACGATCTTTCTCGAGCATCGAGTTGTATATTTTTAACGCGGCGAAGAAGTAGCGAAAGGGTTAGGGTATATCAAATTGTACGAAGAACGCGGCACAGGAAGAATTCGAAGGGGGGGATAGATGGGGAAAATTTTTGGGGAGATATTTCGAGGAAAATCTGGTTCTCGTTTATATTAATTTATGCTATGTGTATAAGAAGTTCGAAACGGATTAAAGACGCGTAATAATAATGTAAAATAAACCTCGGTCGAAAGCCGAATTGTTATATCGTGCTTCTTGGAATCGAAACAAATAACGAATTCGTCGACGCATTCAAAAGGAGAAGATTGGCTCGTTGCACGTGTTCATTTGATCGGAATGAAATATCGGAGAGAAGCGAAGGAGGAGGGAGGAAAGAAACGCTGTTGTTGCCGCATGTTAATTAAACCCGAAACGCTAAAAGCTTTACCCTTTTTACCCGCGAATCCTCGAGGAAAATTACCGGCGATCGAAACAAAAGGAAAGTCCCAAGAAAACAATTCCGGGTGTCCCCCTGGAAAAAAGGTGGCCCCCGAAAATCTCGGATGTCCCCCTGATTTCCCTCCTCGACCCGTGCCCTCGAAAAGCAGCAGGAAAATTAGCGCGAACGGGCCGAGGATGGATCCTCCTCGGTAATCCTCGTCCGGTCGGCCTCTTTGTCGGGAAAATCCCGTGGCGGCAAACAAAAGTGAGACACTCGACTCGCCGCTTCGAGTCCTTCGAGATAGTTGCCGTGGCACACGAGCAAACACGCACACGCACAGCTCGACGGGTAAAAAAAGGGCCACGAAGCGTTAGCAAACAGCGGGAAAAACGGCCGTCCCATCCTTGTTGGCTCCTGTTGCTCCCGTTTTCTCTTTTTTCTTCTTTCTTTCTTTCTTTCTTTCCCTCCCTCCCTCCCTCCCTTTCTTTCCCTTTCACGCGTATTCGAAGTTGGAGACGCGTGGGAACGGGCGTTGCCACCGATTTTCGGGGGCTGTTCGAACCGCATTCACAACCTCGGTTAATGGTTAATGGATTCCGGATTTGGTCAATTCGACGTGGAAAACGCGATGAAGTTTGTCCCTTTGGTCCTCTTTGTTAGTTAGAGGAGGGGAGGGAGGGGGAGGGGTGGGGGGAGAGAGAGGTGCCCCTTTTTTCGGGAGGGTGGAAAAATGTGTCGCGAATAGAGGTTTGTTTTCGAAGAAGTTCGTTTGCTGATCTTTACGGTTTACAGTTTTGTTTGACCAGTGTTTTATTTGCACGCAGGATTTTGAAAGGAAAGTTTCGGGAATTTGTTTAAAAGGAAAAAAAAAAAAAAAAAGGAAGAAAACCAAGTTGAGCAATATTTTTCGTTTAACGAGATAGATTTTGGGGGAAAGTCGAAGTTTTTCTTTATCGAAATGCTTTATAATTTAAATTAGTTTCGCGGTATTATCTATTAAACACGTACAGTCAGTCGGAAAAGTATAATCTTATCTAGCGAAATCGGTGAAACGAAACGCGCGGATGGAATAATTTTGCCAAGAGAATTTTTTTAAATATAACGACAAAATATGTTTCAAGTTTCAATTGTACATAAATCCCAACGAAAGAAAGAAAAGAGAAACTTTTGCAACTGATTGATCGATCTAAAATAACATTCAAAGATTATACACACACACACACACACACACACACACATATATATATATATTTTCTTAACATTTCGAAAAACTATTCAATCATTTATTATCCTTCGTGCATAAAATATATCGTTGGTTTCACTCGATCGAGGGACAAGGATTTTCTTGCTCTTTCCGCGGGAAATAAAAAAAGAACGAGGAGGAGGAGGAAGGGAGGGAGGCCGGTGTCGCGAATTTTCCCCCGATTTGGTCGTTCTCCGCGCCACTTGACCCCTCTGCCTTTATCAAGAATACTTGATCTCAGCGTTTAATCCGAGCAGCCAGCTCGTCCTTTCACCCCGCCCTTTCCTCCTCTTCCTCGAGTGTCTTTGTCGACAAAAGCGCATCCTCTCCTCTCCTCGTTTTCCTTCTCCCGAATATTCCGCCATAACTCGGACGAAAATCAATTCGGACAAAATCGATGGAATGGAAAATTTTGCGATTCTCAAATTCTTTCTCGAGGCAAGAATATTCAATTCGTTGAAACGTAAGGGATATCTCGTAGGGAAAGAAAAATGGATAGAATAAAAGAAGTGGAAAGAATGTAGGAGTTTTGAATATAGGAGTAGGAAAATCAGAGTTTTAATGCTCGGTTGCCGAGAGAGAGAGAGAGAGATCCTTTTTTCCAATATCCTGAAAATTAAAACGGGAAACAATCGGACGAACGAAACTGGATCAAACGTGCCTCGCAGCTTTAATTATCCACCGTGTCCAACCTCTCGACGAGGAGGAGCGGAAAATTGCACGCTCCCTCCTCCGCGTGATTTGCTTAGCGTGCACACCTGCACACCTGGCGCCCCCTTCCACGTGTCGCTTACCGTTCCATTACCCTTCCACCGTTTTTCCCTCCCGATATGGAAATTGTTTCGAGCGGATGGAAAAATTGGCCGATACGAGTGTCGAAGGGAAGCTGCAGTTTTCGAGCGAATTTTTCTGGATGGAACGTTTCTCCCTCTCGATTCGAAATTGCACAGTTTTCTCGAACCCCCTCGTCTTTGCTCGATTTTGGATACATATTGGAGTGGATCGAGGAGTGGACGAGCTTTGTCGTGGAGAAGTTTTTTACGGTTTTTGATCAGGTTTCGATTATCAAGGATTATCTTTCTTTACCGTTCGTTATAACGAATGCGAACATTTACATACAAGAACAATAGGGAAAGAAGAAAACAGTTGGAATCGTAGATTCTTGTTACCCTTCCGTTTCAAACAGGCGATATCGATTGAGAAAAACAGAGTCAGAACGCGGCTGAGAAAAGGTGGACCGCTTTCGACAAAGAGCAACCCCGTAATCCTCCCCCAAAAAAGAAGTCAACGAATCAAAACAAACCTTTCTTCCAAACTTTTCTCTCATCGCGACAACAAAAATTCTCGCCAACAATCCCCTCCTCTTGCTCGAGGATAATCCAACTTCACTCCCCCCCCCCCCCCAACCACGTAGTCGTCGCAACATTCCCTAAAAAAAAGAAGAAAGAACCGACGACGGCCGAACAACGAATCACTTTTCTTCGTCCAACGAGGCCTCGTTTTCTCCTTCTTCTCTTCCTCCTCGCGGTTGCGTGCCACGCACCCACGCCGCCTCATTACGGTATCGCGTGTTTCTCGAGGCTTGGTCGGGG